AACAATAAAAAATAATACAAATAAGGCCAGGCACGGTGGCTCATGCCTGTAATCCCAGCACTTTGGGAGGCCGAGGTGGGTATATCACAGGGTCAGGAGTTCAAGACTAGCCTGGCCAACATGGTGAAACCCCGTCTCTACTAAAAATACAAAAAATTAGCCAGGCGTGGTGGTGGCCACCTGTAATCCCAGCTACTCGGGAGGCTGAGGCAGAGAACTGCTTGAACCCGGGAGGTGGAGGTTGCAGTGAGCCAAGATCGTTCCACTGTACTCCAGCCTGGGCGACAGAGTGAGACTCTGTCTCAAAAATAATAATAATAATAATACAAATAAAAAGCAATACAATATAGCAACTATTTGCATGTCATTTACATTGTAAATGATTTAAAGTATATTAGAGGAGGTACATGTTTGATATGCAAATACTTCACCATTTTATATAAGAGACTTGAGCATCCTGTCCTCTGATTATGGAATTGTTGGGGGATCGTGGAACCAGTTCCCTGGGAATACCATGGGACAACTATATTTTGTCTTTCTGATGAAGGAAACAGCATCTCCATTCTCCCTTACCTTTCCTCTCCCCTGGTATCACTTCTTGTGGGATCTCCGGGGTGTGTACATGTTGGGAGGTAACTGTGAGGTAGAGAAGAGAATGCAGAGAACAAAGAGATTGATGTGGATAAGACCACACTGTGGAGTCCCTCCTAGGGATGTCCTCAGGATTAAGGTGACACTTACCAAGTAGGGGCCACCTACACTGTAGTGGAAGGGAATTGTCTCGGCAGTAGCAGGAGCTGGCAGGATAGACGTGTGGATTGTCAGCACCTAGAGGATGAGGTGGCAGGCAGCTTTTCTGTGGAACTGAGAAGAAAGAGTCTGAAGAAACACCCAGGAAATAAAAGAGGGGGACCTTTGCCAGGTGCGGTCGCTCACCCTGTAATTCCAGAACTTTGGAGACTAAGGCAGGAGGATCACTTGAGGCCAAGAGGTTGAGACCAGCCTGGGCAACATAGCGAGACCTCATCTCTACAAATAATTAAAAAATTAGCCAGGCATGGTAGCGTGTACTTGTGGTCCCAGCTATTTGGGAGGCTGAGGCAGGAGGATCACTTGAGCCTGGGTGGTTAAGGCTACGATGAGCCAACATTGCCCCACTGCACTCCAGCCTGGGTGACAGAGCGAGACCCTGTCTCAAAAAAACCAAAAGATGTTCAAGGGGATGCTCAAGATAGGCAGAACTTTGCTAAGTTGCTTGGTTGCCTTCATAAAAGGGAATTAGTAGAGAAAAATGAGCATAGATTTTGACTCCTGTAACCTGTGTCTTCCCAAACACCTAAGCTGAGCATGGTCCAAAGTTTTATCCCTCTCTTTACAGCCTAACTATTCTTTCTCAAAGGTATGTCCCCCCAGACCAAGTCAAGGGGCCCGCTTATACCAAAGGCAGTGCCTCCACCCCTGTGCAGGGCTCCATCCCAGAAGGAAAGCCCCTTCGGACACTTCTGGGTGATCCTGCATCGTCTCTCTCAGTTGCTGCCTCCACCTCGAGCCAGGTAACTCTCAGATCTGCTCGTCATGTTTCTGTTGAGATTTGGGAGACAGGAGTGTCAGTTTCCTGAATCAGATTCCCCGGACTTAGCAGACAACAACGCAGGAGCTGTGAGTTGGTTCTCGGTCCTGCTGTTAACCCGTATCTTGTATTTGTCACTTCTGGACCTCCTATCTTTTGGAAGTCAGAACCCAACAGGAAGTGGTATTTAGGGAAGTCAGAATATCAGCTCCAAACCTGAGCATTCCATCAAAGAAACACAGAAGGGGCTGGGATATGGTGTCCAATACTTGGGAAAGTTGAGGAGTAACAGCCGTGGGGACAGTGTTGGGCAACATTCCTGTATATCTCAGGGTTACCTTGGCTCATGTGCTGTAAAATGTGTGGTTCTTGGAGCAGGTGTACTGAGAAGACGATGATATGAGCTGTAAGAGGGGCCAAGGCAGCTGCTGCCCAGGAAACTTAGGTTGAAGGCAGTTACTCACTGTCTTCTCTCTCCACCTGCCTATCTGAGGGCAACTTGGGGAGCCAGAGGAGGGCCTGAGGCATGTCTGGGATTCTAAGGGCTGTATGCAATTCCTTCTCCTCCAAGCCCGTCAGTCAGTCTCACGCTCGGACATCCCAGGCCCGGAGCACTCAGCCACCTCCCCACTCCTCTGTCAAAAAAGCCAGTACTGACCTGCTGGCTGACATTGGTGGAGACCCCTTTGCTGCACCCCAGACGGCACCAGCTTTTGCTGCATTCCCTGCCTTTGGGGGTAAGTGAGTTTTGGTATGGGACCCTCCCTACATCATATATACTTACAACATGAGAGATACAATCCCTGGAGGTGACCGTGGCTCTAGGTCTTCTCATGCAAACAAATGTGAAGGTCACTCTGAAGCAGCAAGGCTGGGAGGATTGGGGTCAAATAAGTACAGCCACGATTATGTTTGGGAGTTTGATCCTAAAACATTACAGTTGAGGGCTCCTAGCACTTCCTTTTAGAACACTGGAAATAGCCTTTTTTACTGTTTTCTCTCTCTCTTAAAATGGTAGGACGGGCCGGGCGCGGTGGCTCAAGCCTGTAATCCCAGCACTTTGGGAGGCCGAAACGGGTGGATCACGAGGTCAGGAGATCGAGACCATCCTGGCTAACACGGTGAAACCCCGTCTCTACTAAAAAAATACAAAAAAATAGCCGGGCGAGGTGGTGGGCGCCTGTAGTCCCAGCTACTCGGGAGGCTGAGGCAGGAGAATGGCGTAAACCCGGGAGGCGGAGCTTGCAGTGAGCTGAGATCCGGCCACTGCACTCCAGCCTGGGCGACAGAGCGAGACTCCGTCTCAAAAAAAAAAAAAAAAAAAATGGTAGGACGGGGATTATCATGTGTTCCATTTCACCAAAGATTATTCTTCCCCCAAATCAGCAATAGCCAGTAGAGGGTTGAGTAGCGTAGAATCTGTTTTCCTTTTTTAAAAATTTTCAAGCCGGACACAGTGGCTCACACCTGTAATCCTAGCATTTGAGAGGCCGAGGCAGGCGGATCACCTGAGGTCAGGAGTTCAAGACCAGCCAGGCCAACATGGTGAAACCCCATCTCTACTAAAAAAATACAAAAAACTAGCCGGGCGTGGTGGCGGGCGCCTGTAGTCCCAGCTACTCGGAGGCTGAGGCAGGAGAATGGCGTAAACCTGAGAGGCGGAGCTTGCAGTGAGCCGAGATCGCGCCACTGCACTCCAGCCTGGGTGACACAGCGAGACTCCGTCTCAAACAAAAAAAAAAAAGAAAAAAGAAAAAATTAGCCAAGTGTGGTGGCACGTGCCTGTGGTCCCAGCTACTCGGGAGGCTGAGGCAGGAGAATTGTTTGAACCTGGGAGGCGGAGGTTGCAGTGAGCTGCAATCACGCCACTGTACTTCAGCCTGGGTGACAGAGTGAGACTCCATCTCAAAAAAAAAAAAAAAAAATTCAAGCTCCTTCCTCCATGAAAAAAAATTTTCATGCCCCAAACTAGGCCCTGACAAAAATGTTAATGCCTCATGGAGTAAGGATAGAAGAGGGCAGGGAGTGAACCTGGAGGCCCTGGGTGCCCCTGTCCCCCTGTGTGGGTCTGGCTCTTGGCCCCAGGCCCCACCCATTTCCCTCTGAAGAGGACCCTGTGGAAAGGCAGATGTCCTATAAGAGTGGCCTTTGGCCTTTAGAATTAGTAGATATATTACATAGATAGGCATATACATTTTCTTTTCTTTTTCTGTTTTTGTTTTGTTTTTGTTTTTGTTTTGAGTCAGAGTCTCATTCTGTCACCCAGGCTAGAGTAGAGTGGCACAATCTCGGCTCACTGCAACCTCCACCTCCCAGGTTTAAGCAATTCTCATGCCTCAGCCTCCCAGGTAGCTGGGATTACAGGCACATACCACCACGGCCAGCTAATTTTTATATTTTTAGTAGAGAGAGGGTTTTACCATGTTGGCCAGGCTGGTCTTGAACGTCTGACCTCAACTGATCTGCCCGCCTCGGCCTCCCAAAGTGCTGGGATTACAGGTGTGAGCTACCACACCCGACAATTTTCTGTATAACCTTTATGTTTCTTCCACCTACAGGTCAGACACCTTCCCACGGGGGCTTTGCCAACTTTGATGCCTTCAGCAGTGGCCCCAGCCCTTCTGTGTTCGGAAGCCTCCCTCCAGCTGGTCAAGCCCCGTTCCAGGCCCAGCCAACTCCTGCGGGTAAACTCTGCCCCACTGGCTTCCTTTCTCTTCCAACCATGTCCATTTGTTCATGTCCATAAATCAGCCTTCATTCATATCCTCACTATCCTAAAGAGCAAAGCAGCAAAGCACAAAGAGAAGCAGCTCCAGGAGAGGATGAGCGTGTCTGACACATTCTTGTCAGGGAGAGGGGGCTCTACTGTTCTGCTTTTTCATGAAAGGAAAAATGACTAAGATTGCAGCAGGAGCTGTGTGGGTTATACACTAGGAAACTTTTCACTAGGAAGTATGGAAGACCTGAGTCCTAAACGGATGTGACCTTTTTCTCTAAGGTGCTCTTGTCTGCATAGTACACTGTCCCAAAGGGTCAAGGGTCAAGGTAGTCTCCAGAAGTCCTCATCCATCCCACTAAGACCAAAGGCCTGTAAACTCTACGTTGCTGCCAGCCACAATGGCTCATGCCTGTAATCCTAATACTCTGGGAGGCTGAGGTGGGAGGATCACTTGAACCCAGGAGTGTGAGGCTGCAGTGAGGGATTACTGTGCTACTGCACTCCAGCCTGGGTGACAGAGTGAGACCCTGTCTCAAAACAAATAAACATACAAAACCAAAAAACTATGCTATTTAGCCATTGCAAGAGACTCTTAAGGCCTTCTTAAAGCATTCTGCTCCTTCCTAAGCTCTAGATGTCGAGTCTTCATAGCCTTTGGGTGCCTTCTGACTTTGGACATCCTGGACAATGGGAGGGCAGCTGCAGTGCTCGCTGTCAGGCCCAGATGTCTGGGGAAAAGCCAGTGACATACACTCTTTCTTTTTCCCTTCCTCTACCCATCCTTCTCTTCTCCACCCTCACTGCCAGCCAGTCGGATGCTAACTGAAAGTTACAGCTTTGGTAAGTTATTCTCCCCACCCCAGAGCCTACCCAAGCGCCTCTGATCATAGAGTTTTGAGGGCTGGAAAGAACCCTTAAAATTTGGTCATTTGACAGATAAGGCAGTTAAGCAATTTCCCTAGTCACACAGGCCACAGAGTGACCAAGCTGAGACCAGAGCCCAGACTTCTTGACTCATTCTCTGCCCACAGCCTTCTCACTGTGCCACTGTGAGCTGATTAGCTGTTTTTGTTTCTATTTTATCATTTTGGAGGGCGACAAGAAGAAACATATATTGATAAAAGTTGGCTGGGTATGGTGGTTCACACCTGTGATCCCAGCACTTTGGGAGGTCCAGGTGGGCAGATCACCTGAGGTCAGGAGTTTGAGATCAGCCTGGCCAACATGGTGAAACACCATCTCTACTCAAAATACAAAAATTAGCTGGGCGTGGTGGCAGGCACCTGTAATCCCAGCTACTCGGGGGACTGAGGCAGGAGAATCACTTGAACCTGGGAGGCAGAGGCTGCGGCGAGCCGAGTTCGTGCCACTGCACTCCAACCCGAGTGGCAGAGTAAGACTCTGTCTCAAAAAAAAAAAAAAAAAAGTTCACAAAGAGGTTCTCAAAACCATGTACTTAAAATAACTGACCTCATACCGGTGAGATTCACGAAGCAAAAACTATTAGACACAATCAGAATTTAATAAGCCAAAGGAGTAGGAGACTATAATTTGTATTTTGGTAGACTATAATTTGTACAATGCTTTCCCACATGACTAGCAGACAAGTAAGAAAGAAACTAGGAAACAAAATCTCCATAAATTCTAACAAAGATAAATCACATAGGTCACATTCTAGTTTTTGTTGTTGTTTTTTGTTTTTTTGTTTGTGTGTTGTTTGAGACAGAGTCTTACTCTGTCGCCCAGGCTACAGTGCAATGGCGCAATCTCATTCAAGCGATTCTCCTGCCTCAGCCTCCTGAGTAGCAGGATTACAGGCACATGCCACCGTGCCCGGCTAATTTTTGCATTTTTAGTAGAGATGGAGTTTCATTCACCACGTTGGCCAGGCCAGTCTCAATCTCCTGACCTCAAGTGATCCGCCTGCCTTGGCATTGCAAAATTCTGTGATTACAGGCATGGGCCACGATGCCTGGCCATAGGTCACATTCTGTATGATAAAAGATGACATAAACAAAGCTTAAAGGCATGAAATAGATGGAGAGATGATACAACATAGAAAACAGGTGGAAGTTAGTATCTATAAAGTATTTTTTAAATTCCTGCAAATATGAAAATAGAATAATGGACAAGAGATACAAGCAGGTAACACTCAGAAAAAAATATGAAAATAGGCCAGGCGTGGTGGCTCATGCCTATAATCCCAGCAGTATGGGAAACTGAGGCAGGTGGATCACTCTGAGGTCAGGAGTTTGAGACCAGCCTTGCCAACATGGTGAAACCCCATCTCTGCTAAAAATACAAAAATTAGCCGGGCATGGTGGCAGGCGCCTGTAATCGCAGCTACTTGGGAGGCTGAGGCAGGAGAATCGCTTGAACCTGGGAGGCGGAGGTTGCAGTGAGCAGAGATCGCACTATTGCCCTCCAGCCTGGGCGACAAGAACGAGACTTGGTCTCAAAAAAAAAAAAAAAAAAAAGAAAATATCCTCAACCTAACTAACAGAGAAATGCAAACTAGGATAAGATAGTTTTGCACATCATATTGGCAAAATTTTTAGATTGATAATGGCCAGTATCATGTGGGGAAAAGGACCTTCTTGTGTGCTGTTGGCAGAAATTGTACATTGGTGCAGGAATATTCAATTTAGTAAGAAAGGTGTGCTCCCAGGAATGGGAGCACTCGAGGAGACAGCCTATATAAAGTTGTTATAGATGTGTCCCTTCTGAAATGCCTTCCCAGTACAATTGATTGCTCTAAAGACAAGAGTTTTTGGGGCAGACTCAGGGAGAAGGAAGGGCTCAGCCCCACGGATGTTCCAAGCATTAAATCTTTTGTCCACTACCTGGCTGTCTCAAAAAGCAGTCAATCACTGGGCGCGGTGGCTTATACCTGTAATCCCAGCACTTTGGGAGGCTGAGGGGGTGCATCATTTGAGGTTAGAAGTTTGAAACCAGCCTGGCCTACATGGTGAAAACCCCCTCTACCAAAATACAAAAATTGGTCGGGCGTGGTGGTGCGTGCCCATAGTTCCAGCTACTGGGGACGCTGAGGCAGGAAGATTGCTTGAACTGGGGAGGCTGAGGTAGCAGTGAGCTGAGATTGTGCCTCTGCACTCCAGCCTGGGTGACAGAGCAAGACTCTGTCTCAAACAAAACAAAACAAAAACAGTCAACTTACAGCCAAACCCAGAGCCAAGGAACATTTCCGAGGATTCTGCCATTGTTGGGCACCTTCATGCACTATGTCCATGAGGAAGGAAAGAGCCTCCCTTTGCAGGAAACTGGCTCAACTTGGCCCAGATCTAATGCTGATAATTGGCAGAACCACTTCCCACTACACCATGATCATGCAGGTGTTCCTGTGAGTGTGATTTAGCTATTGGGTGTGAACTGAGAGGAGATTTTGAGAGGTGGGTGTCTCTTCTGACAAGCCTGCTTTTATTTTTATATTTCTGAGGGGGAGTATGGAGAGAGGGGAGGTTTTCAAAACTGCTTCTCTGAAACTGCGATAAGGCATGGTAGAAATCTAGCTGCATGGCGTAAGAAGCGTAAGAAGCGCAAGAAGCGCATGAAGGCCGGGTGTGGTGGCTCATGCCTGTAATCCCATCACTTTGGGAGGCTGAGGTGGGCGGATCACCTGAGCTCATGAGTTCGAGACCAGCCTGGGAAACATGGCAAAACTTCTTCTCTACCAAAACTACAAATAATTAGCTGGGAATGGTGGTATGCGCCTATAGTCCCAGCTACTCAGGAGGCTAAGGTGGGAGAATCAGCTGAGCCCTGAAGGTCGAGGCTTCAGTGAGCTGAGATTGTGCTACTGCACTCCAGTCTGGGCAACTGGAATGAAACCCTGCCTCAAAAAAAAAAAAAAAAAAATACATGAAATGAAAAGCAAACAGGAGCGCAGGTGTTTCTTGGGCCACCGCCTCCTTTATGAGAATGCACTCTGTGCAAAGGGCCAACCCCGCCTAGGCTAGGGATGGTTCTGCCCCCTAGTGTTCACAGGGAGGCACAGCATGGCCTGCAGCCTCTCTCCCAGCTTGGTCCTCACTGGGGTGAGCTCCTGGAACATGAAGGACCACAGTAGTAGTACAAAGAGTCAGCCATCCGAGGAGAGGGAGCCGTGCTCGCGTGGAAATTCCACACACTGTACTTGGAGGCAGGCAGACAGGGAAAGGCCTCGACTGGAAGAGTCAGTAGAGGATCCAACACCATGCTTCTGGCTTTTTTTTTTTTTTTAAACAGTCTCGCCCTATTGCCTAGGCTGGAGTGCAGTGGCTTGATCTTGGCTCACTGCAATCTTCCTCTTTCAGGTTCAAGTGATTCTGGTGCCTCAGCCTCCCATGTAGCTGGAATTACAGGTATGCACCCCCATGCCCAGCTTATTTTTGTGCTTTTAGTAGAGACAGGGTTTTGCCATGTTGGCCAGGCTTGTCTCGAACTCCTGACCTCAAGCGATCTGCTTGCCTCAGCCTCCCAAAGTGCAGGGATTACAGGTGTGAGCCACTGGGCCCGACCCCAGCCAGCTGGCTTTCTAGCCTGCCTAACAGTCTGTGGATTAGAAAGGATTGATGACCAAGTAAGCACAGTGGCATTGTAACCTTTCCCAGGAGGAAGCTGGCAGCCAGCACTCGTTCATCTAGAAAGCCCAGACATTTAGGAAGGAGGTGGCAAAGGAGAGCACTGTCTTACAAGTGCCGACACTCAGTGAGAGGGAGCGGGGCTTCAGGACCTGGCAGCAAGTAGGCACTGGGCACTTCGTCTTCCCTGCTAGATTCTCAACTTCTCCAACTTAAGGCCCAGGTCGCTGTTATTTATGCATAGTGCCTAGCATGTGGAAGATCTCCCTCTTTTTTTTTTTTTT